TAAACTGTAATCCTCGGAAAAGGGCCATCGGCCGTCTTGTCAGCGACTGGTGGCTGTGATCCCATCTACATTCGAATGCTTATGCTTCTCATATTGAGAAAACTGTGGTAAATTTTACTCATACAATTTAAAAACAGTGTTCCTGAGCTCTGTACTGGATACGTTTTGACCCAAAAATAGTAAAAATAGCTATGAAAAAAGAGCAAAACGAGATCGGATTGTGGGAAACCGGCGAAAACCGGACGGAGACAGAGGGAGAAAAGGGCAGGGAAAATTAGCCTCAATAACGAAATTTTACTACTTGATACTTTTTGATCAGTTATTGTTTCATTGTAGCGCACATCGCGTAATATATCAAATAGTGGTTAATGGTTTTTGTTAAAAATAAAGACCAACTGCGTTACTATGACGCAGTACCCCTGCCCCTGGTTCAAACTTTAACTGCCCTACCTCACTGAACTTCCGATCTTTGTCCCCTGGGGTATATAAGCACTCTTCCCCATCGCCGGGATCGCCAGTTTCGACCCGCTTATTCTAACCTACTTATTCCATATACTACTACTCCTATTCTAGGGAGCTTCGGCTCCCCAGAGCCTCACCTACTTTTTATACCTTATCCTTTACTTTGCTATGTATAATAAACATGCATATAAGGCGCGACGTGTTACACACACATACACAAACACACCATACAAACGGGGCATACACTAGTCCAATAAAACTACTATTAGGGTCGCGATACGCATTTCTGCGTAATTAATGTAAAAGATAACCGTCCGAGGTTATTTTTTGTAACCGAAGCTCCATCACTTTTTTTAGTGAGCCTACTAGTGACTCTGTTGTTCCACATTAACGACACCACTGTCTTTCCTGTCATACTCCATTAGCTAATTCCATGCCTCCCCTCCCCACCCCCGGTCCAAACACACACACACACACAAACACAGACACACACACATACACACACATGCACACACAGACACACACAGTAAAATTTATGTTTTTTTTGGCCGTTCCAAATTTTCTTGGGCTTGGATTGGCGTTGCTTCAAAACATTTTGTTCGGCCTATGAATGGCTGGGAAAAAATTTTTATTAATTTAACCTAGTTTGGCCGCGCCTCACTTGGACCGTCCATTTTTCATTCGGCCATCTGTGTCCCTTACATTTCCTTCCCTGGCACAAATACTAAAGCATTTCCCCGGAAAAACAAAAAAAAGAAACAAACGCCAAAATCATGAGAATTTGATCGCTCAGTGGTTCAGTTTCGGTCACAAAAACAGCCAAAAGTTTATTTTTATTGAAGCAATCCATCGGAAAAAATGAAAAAAAAAAAAGGAAAAAACGTCAGAATCATGAGAATTTGACTGCTCACTGGTTCAGTTTAGGTCAAAAAAAAGGCAAAAGTTTGTTTTTATTGAAGCAGCCCACCGGAAAAAATGAAAAAAAAAGAAAAACAAACGCCAAAATCATGAGAATTTTATCGCTCAGTGGTTCAATTTAGGTCACAAAAACAGCCAAAAATTTGTTTGTTGTACGGATATTAGCACGGAAACGCGTTAGAATGAAAAAATACCCAACCAAAATGAATAGTGAAAATGAATAGTGAAGGAAAATATTTGCCTGGGAACTGTATGATAAAAAAAACCTGTTTAGCATATTGCTCCAAGTCGTCGTCCACAACTTCGTCATCAACATCCACCCCAAAAGTTTCATCGTTGTTTGCGTCAATGTTGTGGTCTCCCGTCTGTTCCACATCCAAATCCTACAAATGCAAAAAAAAAAATAAAATAACAATTGGCCAAAGAATGGGTTGCCCATGCGAAGATGTGCTTTTTGCATAGTTTCCCACAGTTTTTGTTGCTACCGGCACCGGTTTTTCCGGCAAATGCTTCAGCTAGACAAATTAAGACTGGCCGCCAGAACTGTCAGGAAACACCCTCTTAAAATTTCAGCTTTCTAGCCTCTCAGGTTCCCGAGTTAGCAGCTTGCTCGCAAAAAACTTTGGCGGGCCCGTACATGGGTACCACGCGTACTAGGTGCCTGGGCTTGAGCCCACTAACACAAACCTGGATGGGGAACATCCCCTTAAAATTCCAATCCTCTAGCCTCTCAGGTTCCTGAGTTAGCAACTTACTGGAAAAAAACTTTGGCGGGCCAGTACATGGGTAACACGCATACTCGGTGTCTGGGCCTCAGCTCATTAACATCTACGCGGGCGAGGAACGTCACCTTCAAAATTCCAGCTTTCCAGCTTCTCTGCTTTTCGAGTTAGCAGCTTGCTCGCAAAAAACTTTGGCGGGCCCGCACGTGGGTACCACGCGGGAAAGAGCGTTTATTTTAGTGAACGGGGCCTGTACATGCATGTAGATTAAGTTCCCAAAATTTCAGCCGTAGCTTTTGTAGGTCTCAAGATGAAAAGTCGGTACAGACGAAAACACAGACACACACACACATACCCGGACAACCCATCGTCAATATACGTTTTCTGCATTGCATAGCTGCAAGAAACGCCTAAAAATGACTGCAATATAATATAAAACTGATACAACCAGGATACTCCTAGTAAGTAAAAAACGTGACCTTACAGAGGCAACGCTAGAAAAAGAGGGAGGTGGCGATACTCTATTATCTTTCCCATCATAATCTATTACACTAATCCCACCTTGGATTAAAATTTATGGACAAATGGTGTTCCATATTTTCCGTGGTTCGGATTACTGCCCGCTTGTTTCGAAGATTACGCGGTTCCCGAGGTTAAAATAAACTCTGAGAGCACAGTATTATTCCAAAGACAAGAAAAAAGCTTTTTCAAAAATATCAGAATTGTAAGAAAAAAAACATGTGCCTTTCTTCGGGCGGACAAAAACGCCAAATCAATAGTGAGGAGACGAGAAATGCAAAAAGGAGTCAAGAAACGCAAAAACTTAACCGTTGAAAGAAAAATAAGGATGGAAGGATGGCGAAGGTGG